ATCAAACTTGCTGAAATTACTTAAAAACATGAATTTTTGCACAAGAAGCTGAACATGGCCGTGGCGTGCGCACCGTGCGCCGCCTACGGCGTTAAGCCGTCTCACGACCAAACATTCTTTTCTCTTGGCAGTTAATACACAACCGAACATGAAATACTGATGACTGAATAATTTGACATGAAGTGCTCGAAAGATTACCACTTAACACAATCGACAACCATGCTCGGCCCGTGGTGCGCGCTACGTGCGCGACCACGCCCTTTGGCCGAATTACCGAACAAACATGAAAATACTACGAACAATATAAGCTGACTGAACATGATAAATCATGAAATGATTAAATACATGACAAAAGCTCCAGAGATTACACGCCAACACATGAACACACTTGCCATGAACTCGCACGGCCGAACGGCTTAAAGTCGTGTCATGAACATGAACAAATCGGAACTAACATGACTTTAACATGAACAAATAAAGGTAAACCGAAGCTACCTTCTTGAACCCTGGCTGATCGCATTAACTACTCGGCTTAACCGGAGCCTCCTTGCGCGGCGTGCGATTACTTCGTGCGGTACTCTCAGCGCTAGGGTGCGGATATGTTACTTACTTAGGGAAAAATTCTCCAATCTCTCTAACTCTCTATACTCTCAATATACGAATATATATGCTGAAGAAAGATGGAAAAAGTTTTCCCATTTCCAACCCATAAATAGGGCGGCCGAAGGGGCATGGGTGATGAGGAGCCTTGGTGGTTAAAGGAAATTATGCCACTTGTAGCAAGCTTAGGGCCTTAGGGATGAATAATCACTCTTAATTAGCTTAGTCACCTAATAAGCCCTCCTAATGAGTCACCTCAAACTTCACTTTTTGGAGACAAATTCTCTCATTAATTCCCACTTATTTGCTTACGGCCAAAGCAAAATAAATGGAGAAAAATTAAAGATAATGCTACGGCTTTTTATTGATTAAACATGATCACTACTTAATTAAGCATACTTAAATGCTTAATTATTAAATTAAACATGATACTTAATTACCAAAATTATTTCGAACGTAAACGGAACGTCAAAAATAATTTCGGGTAATTTCGACTGAATAAAAATAGTTTCGAAAATAATAATCGACAACGTTATTATATCTGAACTAATACATGATTTATATTAATAATCTGACGGGATATTACAATCCTCCCTCCTTAAAAATTTCCGTCCTCGGAAATTCAAAACGAACTGAATATACATGAAATATGTACATGAAACATGAAAATATGTACATCAAAACTGAAAATCTGGAAAACGAGCGCGAATGTCAGTCTCCGCCTCCCAAGTAGCTCCGTGGCGATCCCATTGAATACGAACGAGGGGAACATCTCGCTTCCGGAGCCGACGAACCTGACGGTCCAGCACAGCTACTGGTCGCTCCTCGTACGATAAATCTGGCTGAATCTGAATATCTGAATGGGGAATGACATGATCGGGGTCGCACACGTACTTACGCAACATAGATGCGTGAAAGACATTATGAATGCCGGATAGCTCGGGAGGTAAGGCTAATCGATACGCAACTTCGCCTACACGCTCGAGAACCTCGAACGGGCCAATGCATCGGGGGTGCTGTTTCCCCCTCTTCCCGAATCGAACAACTCCACGAATAGGACGAACTCTAAGAAAAGCTGGCTCGCCAACCTCGACTTGGATATCTCGTCGATGCTGATCGGCTGAAGATTTCTGTCGACTCTAAGCTGTCTTGAGTCTCTGTCGGATCAACTCGACCTGATCTGCGGTCTCCTCGATCATCCTCGGACCGAGTACTCGTCGCTCGCCGACATCGTCCCAATAAAGAGGGGAACGACACTTACGACCGTAAAGTGCCTCATAAGGAGCCATCTGAATAGAAGAATGATAGCTGTTATTGTACGCAAACTCAGCGTACGGCAACAACGACTCCCACTTAGCACCCCTTTCAACAACCAAAGCGCGTAACATATCCTCAAGCGTCTGAATGGTCTGCTCGGACTGACCATCAGTCTCCGGATGGTATGCTGAACTGAGCACTAGCTTCGTGCCCATCGCCTCAGGAAAACTCTGCCAGAATCTACTGACGAATCTGGGATCTCTGTCTGATACGATAGTAACGGGCACTCCGTGGAGTCGAATGATCCCACGGGTATCTATCTCAGCCAACTTATCCAAAGACATCTTCATCGAAACGGGTAAGAAATGAGCGACCTTAGTCAATCTGTCGACCACGACCCAAATAGCATCGTGATGTTCAGATGACCTCGGTAATCCCGTAACGAAATCCATCGTGACTTCCTCCCACTTTCATCTCGGAATCGGTAGTGGTTGCAGGAGGCCGATCGGACTCTGATGTTCGGCTTTGACTTGCTGACAGGTAAAACATCTCCTGACGAACTCGGCAACGTCCTTCTTCATCCCTCGCCACCAAAACGACCCTTTCAGGTCATGATACATCTTCGTGCTTCCGAGATGGGCTAAATAAGGTGCGGTATGAGCCTCTGTCAATATCTCCTTCTGCAACGCTTTGACTTTCGGCACCACGATCCTGCCTCTGAACTCCAATGCTCCGTCTGAACCTAGCTGAAAATCCTCGACGCCTCCGGCATGGACTTTGGCATCCATGACTCGAACGAACTCGTCAGAAGCCTGTTCCCGCCGGCTTCTCTCTCTCAGCGTCGGCTGAATCAGCATGGCACTGACACTGGCACTTACACTCCCCGAAATGGCTGTGGGAAGTGCGTCGACCGCCTGAATCTGCATCCGGGCGAACTCCTGAATCAACGGACTCTGCTGAGTAACGACGTACGTCAAGTCACCCTTCACCTTTTGGCTTAGGGCGTCAGAAACGATGTTCGCCTTCCTCAGATGATACTGAATCGAGCAATCGTAATCCTTGACGAGCTCGAGCCAACGGCGCTGTCTCATGTTAAGCTCCTTCTGCGTGAAAATGTACTGCAAGCTCTTATGATCTGTGAAAATCTCGCAACGACCGCCGTAAAGATAATGTCGCCAAATCTTGAGGGCATGAACAACTGCGGCTAACTCCAAGTCGTCCGTCAGATAGTTCTGTTCGTGCGGCTTGAGCTGGCGTGAAGCATAAGCAACAACCTGGCCGTCCTGCATGAGTACACATCCCAAACCTTACTTCGAAGCATCACTGAAAATGGTGAAACTCCGAGAAGGATCGGGAATAGTCAACACCGGGGCTGAAGTTAATCTCCTCTTGAGCTCCTGAAAGATCGACTCACAACGATCAGTCCACTCGAACTTCACAGACTTCCTCGTCAGCTGGGATAGTGGGAGGGAAATCTTAGAAAATCCCTCGATGAACCTGCGATAGTAGCCAGCTAAACCGAGAAAACTGCGAACCTCAGACGGACTCTTCGGTGTCGACCAGTTCTGAACAGCTGAGACCTTGGAAGGATCTACCTCGATACCTGCCTGAGTAATCACATGACCCAGAAAAGCTAATCGTTGGAGCCAGAACTCGCATTTGGAGAATTTTGCATACAACTTTTCTCGTCTGAGGGTTTCGAGAACAACCCTCAGATGCTCCTCGTGCTCCTTCTGGCTTTTCGAGTAGATAAGAATATCGTCAATAAAGACAATAACAAAATGATCGAGGTAGGGATGGAAAATACGGTTCATCAGGTCCATGAAAACCGCTAGAGCATTACTGAGGCCGAATGGCATGACGACGAACTCGTAATGGCCGTAACGAGTCCTGAAAGCGGTCTTAGCAATATCTGACTCCTTAATCTTCAGCTGGTGGTAGCCTGATCGTAAATCAATCTTTGAGAACACACAGGCTCCCCTCAGCTTATCAAATAAATCGTTGATCCTGGGAAGCGGATACTTGTTCTTGATCGTCAACCGGTTATGATCCTGGTAGTCGATACACATGCGCATTGAACCGTCCTTCTTCTTGACAAAGAGAACGGGTGCTCCCCAAGGTGACACGCTCGGTCGGATGAAACCGAATCGTAATAACTCCTGAATCTGCACCTTAAGCTCCTGCAACTCCTTCGGCGCCATACAGTATGGGCCTTTGGATACTGGGCCGGCTCCTGGAATGAGATCGATAGAGAACTCCACCTGCCGGTTAGGCGGTCCTCCTGGAAGCTCGTCTGGGAACACGTCCAAAAACTCACGAACAACTGGAACATCGTGAGGTGATCGTGCTTTCTTAGAATCATCGACAGGGCTCACCAGATAACCCTGGCAGTTGCCTCGTCGCAGCAACTTGGTAGCTTTCGTCATTGAAACGACATGAGGTAATGAACGATTCCGGGTGCCAAAGAAAGTAATCGAATCGTCTCCCAGAAGATAGAAAGTAATCTCCCGGTCATGACATCGGATATCTTCATGATAAAATGATAGCCAATCCATCCCGAGAATGAGGTCAAAGTCCCTCATCTCAAGAACATACGCGTCGGTAGACAATGAACGACCACCGATGGAAAGGCTGAGATCTGAAGCTTTAGCTGAAGTCACTATCTTCCGTCCCAAGGCTAGACTCACCTCGAGAGGATCGACAGCAGTAATGGCATGAACTCTGATGGCATCAAGACATCGTCGTGAAATAAAGGAGTGCGTCGCTTCAGTATCGAACAAAGCAAACACAGGAACATTATTAAGCATGATCATCCCGGACATAGTACCTGGCTGCTGCTCGGCCTCGACCTGATCGACTGCGTAGACTCGGGCCTGCTGTCTGCCCCTCTGCTGCTGTTGCTGGGGTGGCCTCTGAGCCTGCTGACGGGGCTGCTGCTGCTGTGGCTGCTGAGGCTGCTGTGCCTTCTTCGGACAACGGTTAGCAAAGTGTCCGGGCTCGTGACAGTAATAGCATATATCTTGGCCGAAGCGACACTCGCCTCGGTGAAGTCGTCCGTATGTGGGGCACGGTGGAACCTGCTGCTGTCTCTGTCGGGTCCTCCTGTCGGTCTATGCGCCCTTTCCCTTCCTCTTCTTCTCCTTCGTCGGCTGGGTAGCTGGTAGGGCTGGTGGAGCTGTGGATGACTGGGCGGGGGCGGATGGCTGAGAACGATCATGAATGGCCTCCCTCCTGATGTTGGCGTCCACCTCCTGGGCGATCGAAACAACACGAGCATACGTCTGGGTCCCGTGACCTACAATGTTGTGACGGACTGCTGGGTAAAGCCCGTCAATGAAGCGTTGTACCCTCTGTGCCTCCGTACGAACTAAGTCAGGAATGAAAGCTGCAAGTCTGGTAAACTCCCTCTCGTACTCGTCAACAGAACGAGTACCCTGCTTGAGCGAGAGAAACTGACGCTCCATCTCGGCTCTGTAATAAGTGGGGTAGTACTTCTCGCGGATCAGCTCCTTGAGCCTATCCCAGGTACAACCCTCTTTCTCGTCGGGACGCATACTCCAGTAGGCATTCCACCAGAGTCGGGCATCATCGGTTAGCTGAAGCTGAGCACATATAACTCGATATCTATCTGGACAATCCATGACCTCGAAGATTAACTCAAGGCCCTGAATCCACTCGTCCACGATACGGGGATCTCCCTGCCCGGAAAATTTCTCAGGATGATAGTCGCGAAATTGTGCGACTACTGTAGCCTGGGGAAGAACCGGGTACCCTGATTGAGCGACAGAATCTCCATCTCGGCTCTGTAATAAGTGGGGTAGTACTTCTCGCGGATCAGCTCCTTGAGCCTATCCCAGGTACAACCCTCTTTCTCGCCGGGACGCATACTCCAGTAGGCATTCCACCGGAGTCGGGCATCGTTTGTTAGCTGAAGCTGAGCACATATAACTTGATATCTATCTGGACAATCCATGACCTCGAAGATTAACTCAAGGCCCTGAATCCACTCGTCCACGATACGGGGATCTCCCTGCCCGGAAAATTTCTCTGGATGATAGTCGCGAAATTGTGCGACTACTGTAGCCTGGGGAAGAACCGGGTGATCGGGTTCCCTACGGGGCGACATCTGAACATTGAGGAAGTTCAATATTATTGAATACATGAAAAATACTTTAATTGATTCCTAAAGTATACAAATCTCTTGACGAGTTGCCAAATATGGCTGGGAAATACTGACATGAATCCTGAGGAAATCTAGAGTTATATCTGAGTACACTGATCTATAAGTTCTGAACCTGATTCGAGCATCTTAACTAAGTCATGATTAATAACTTTCTGAGCATAGACAAAGTAATATGTTTATAACTTAAAACATAAATCAACACTTACCTGCAGTCGGCGAGGCGTGAGCGTGACGGTTCAGGTTTTTCTGAAAATTTCTGACTTGAAAACTTTTCAGAGACGCAGAAATGTGCTCTGATACCAATTGTAACACCCCACTATTTACTGAAATTCAGAGTACGCTTTTTTGCAAATTTTCTAAATGAAATAAATAAAGTATTTCTTTTGCGAAATCTGATTCGAGGTGCTACAGTAAAATCTGACTTATTTTGAAAACCGTTAATTTTAAACTGATAATAAAAACGGTTACCTAATATATTAACCGACTATCGTCGGGTCAAAAGCTGGTTTAAAGTACTGAAAAACTGTAGCGGAAATGTAGCGTAGCCAAAACATAATATATATACATATAAACAAATGTCCTGAACCGCTCGCCAGCTCACTCCTCGTCTCCGACTCTGTGACCTGAAAAACATGAAATACGTGGGGGCGTGAGCACTAAAGCACTGTGCTCCGCAGAAACTCACACTAAAGTAAAACAGTGAAAATAATAACAATATCATGATCCTGGCATATATAACTGAACTGAAACTGAAACTGATAACTGATATCTGATAATGGTACTGAGTAATCTGATACTGATCTCGTGACATACGTCACCTGTCTGAAACTGAACATCTGCCGGCGTAGCCGGACACCATGTGCACACTCTAGTGGGCAGATTAAGGCCACTAGAACCCAGAATGGACCGGCAACCATTCCGAGCGGATACTGATAATACATACCTCAAACATGGTAGCCTAATTATAATCAATGTAGTACTTAGTCTGAGTCCCCACCTGATCCGTGAAATGAAAGGTAGTGCTGATGACTGATGCCTGATCAAACTAAAAGATAATATAAACAATTACTAAGGAATATGCTCAGACTGATAAATTAATTGATTAATTATATTAAGATGCTCTACTAGACTCGACATGATATTTGGACTTAATCGGTATAACTGGAATCGGTTAAGTACGAAACTGAACTGATATTAATTTACTGAACTGAGTTGGACCCGGAATTTTAACTGAAAATGGGGTCTAAAACATGAACCGGGACAAAAACCTAAAAATTATGGGCTGAACCGGTCCAACCAGACTAAACCGGACTGAACCGGTCTGGACCGGACCGCCGGTCTGCTGTGCCGGGCGGTCGGCCGCTGGCTCGGCCAACGGGCTTGCCGAG